GTTCTCGGGTAGAGGTCAACATCCTGGTTCACGTAATATGACTAAGCCTAATTGAGGTTGTATTTATGGGGCCTTATTAGAAAGGGTTCCTTCCTGGTAAAGATCTACACCTTGGGTAACATAATGTGACTGAGCCCAATTTGGGGTGTAATAATAATACATTTGAACAGAACTGCTTTAGTACTATTTTGTTTGAATTGTCATATAACTCAGCAGTCAAAGTTGATTGATAAGTGTTTTGTTGTTGTCATGTATTCCAGGATCAGGTACGAAGTCGTAGGGTAAGATGTAGTACCCACAAGATGGATGGAGACTGGATATAGTTCTTTTGTATTATATATATCTTGTTGTTTATTCTATGGCTTGATGTTGTAACTGTTACACCTGTTTTACTTTTAGAAGCAATAATTAAGGTTTTTGACAAACCAGTTTTTGGTAATATTAAAACTTTTTCTAATTCTTTATCTAAAAGTGTATAAAAGAAACAGGTGTTACACTCATTCTCCATGCTCCCAACTAAACCATTATGGTTTCCTTCACCAGCTTCCAGTCCAAGTGGTTCCCCCACACTCTTTGTGCTTCATTTCAAAGACGAATCTCTTGTTCTTCCAACATCTCTTGCATCTTTCCAAATAATTACTCTTTTTTCTTAGCCATCATGTCCACCATGAAAGTTTGAGTTTGTTCCAGTATAATTGGTTTAGTTTGAGTACAATTTCCTTATCAACTACCTTTTCATTAGTTTCCCCAATAGTAGTGCAGATTCTAGTGTTCTCTATTCTAATACATTTACATGTTAGTTCTAATATAATAATTAAACATTTAGAAACTAAACTCATAAATTCTTATATATTATTCTAGGGCTAACTTCCTTAAAATTCTTAATTTCCACTATAGCTTCTACAATATAAGTGTAAGCACTGATCCTACTACCCAGTTCACTTAAACTCATCATCTGATACCAGATTTTAACATCCTCCCTAGGGTCTAAACGAAAACGCTTTTTAGAAACCTTATTGTTTAAATTCAAACTATTTATATTAAACTTTGAGGAAATACAATGGTCCCAAAATAATAAACTTTTATCAAGTTTAAATTAGTGAGGTTGTTAATAATAAACATATTAAACACATTTGTTAAAGCTCACCATACAAGTTGTGGTTTTTACAAAATCGAAGATAAGGTCTTCTACTTTTTGACGCTATCTTTAACTCAAAAATATGTCAAAATAAGTTAGGAAATGGATTTTCCTAGTGATAATACACGAGGTGGATTCATTTGGAGTAATAAGATAGCAATGTAACTTACTTGAATCAACCTCCGAAAAACCATTTAAAAATCATTTCCAAAATATGTATGGATTTTATGACCCAAACCTTATCCAAACTGGTTCAAACATATATGGATTTAATGACCCAAATTTTAATAAAACTATTTCAAAATAAGTTGGAATTTAATGATCCAAATCAGGTTTAAGGGTTTATGACCTACAATAAAATTTTAAAACTAACGGTTTTAGTTCAAATAGGATAAGTAAATAACAACATTACTATTATGTAACATGAAACTATCCCAAAACCCAAGTTCCTCTCAAGAAGTCCAATCTCACCGATTTGATGGTTAAGGGTTTGAGTTTAAAGGAGTATGTTCCAAACATACACTATATAGTTATGAAGGAGCAAATTCCAAACATAACTACTGCAGAAGATGTTAGAAGGAGTGTATTCTAAACAAACATCTCTTATTTCCTCATCATAGGCTAGGTATTCATGAACCATCACTTGAACATAAGGATGAGCAAAGGAACCGACCCGGCTGGAACCGGACCGAACCGGACCCGGCCCGGGAACCGAAGTCAGCCGAAATTAAGAACCGAACCGGACTGCCGGTTCTACCGGTTCCGGTTCTCCCGGTTCCCGGTTCCTACCGGTTCTTGCCATGTCTTCAATGTGGGAACCGGTCCTCGACAAATAGCAAAATACGGTTCCGGTTTTTGCCGGTTCTACCGGTTTTTTTCGGTTCCACCGGTTCCGGTTCCTGGTTCCAAAAATCCACAAGAATATCGTCCCGGTCCCGGCCCGATCGGTTCTATCCGGTTCCGGTTCCGGTTCCGGTGCCAGTTCCGGTATCGATTCCGGCCGGTTCCCCGGTCCAAATGCTCATCCCTACCTGAACACTACACAAGGGGTAAGTTGAAAATTTGTGAATAATAAGGATTATCTAGAAATCCTTCACTATCATCATACATCATAATGGCCAATCTCGTATGCATATAAGGAGGGACTCATACGGACACCCATCCTAAAATATGTGAACATGTTTTAATCGAAAATAATTTTCAAATTTTTTATCCTAAATGATCATTTAATCATAAAGCATCATTTAATCATAAAACATAAAACATTATTTTTCTTTAAAGAAAACCTTTTCAAAACAACTTATCAACATCTCTTCATAAATCAATTTTTACCAACATTTCAACCTTTAAGGAAAGCTCTTTTTCCAAAACCATCTTTTATAAAATGCACAATTAGTACATATAAAAAAAGAATATAGCATGTTGGTTGGTAGTTATTAACTGGTAACGGGTAGCTATAACTTTTATTTGGCATATATGTGTTTGTAAAAAAAAATAACTAAAAACTTTTGAAATGTGTAAAATTACATAAAACGACAACTAAAAGAGATTATGTTAATATTGTTAAGGCAATTATGGAAATTGATTAAAAATGTTCAATAGCTTTTTATCAAACACTATGTGAATAACTTTTAGATTTAGTATTTTTTTTAAACTAAAAGTTAAAAGTTTGTACTCTAAAACAAAACTTTTTGTTTAAATCGAATTTTTTGTTAAAATTTAAAAGATAGAAGCTCCCACATATCTTCTCCAAACACTTTGTCATTTTCATGTTAATAGGATGGAGGGTGTGGGTACGGTGCTGCACCCACAGTTTGCCACGTAAGCCGTAGTCCGCACCACCCCCCACCATGTGGTTCGAACCTCGGTCAAACCAAGAGCAGCACATTATGGCCACACACCCTCCTCCCCCCATCTCTCTCTCTCTCTCTCTCTCTCTCTCACACACACATAGTGTGTGTGTGTAATTTTTTATTTTTTTTTTGTGTTTTAAGCTTTTAAGATTTTATAATTCTATTTCTTTTAATTCAGTTAATGAATTTTCAATTTTTTGTTTTAATTAAATTGCTAAAAAATAATGTGGCATGTCATAGTATCCACACCTCTAGTGCGTGGCAAAAAAAATCATACTTTTGTGGTAAAAATGACATGATAGTGAGATGTCATCTATGTGGTCGAGAAGGAAATGTGGTAAGGATGACAACACACCCTCCACTCTTAGCACTTTCATTATTTTTTGGGAAGATGACCTATAAAGGTAACATAGTTCTCGTTTTGTACACGTTTAATCATTGTTGTTTTTTTAATGTAAACCAAGCCATTTAACGTGTTATTTTGTACACATTTAGTCCTTTTGACCAGCTATTCCATGTTAAGTTCTCAGTAGGTACACATTTAGTCCTTAATTTTTTTTATTTTTTTTTTTATTTTTTATTTTTTTTTTGCAAAATAAGTCATTGTTGTTTTGTACACATTCATTCCTTATGACCGATATTCTTTAGGTTTTGCTCACGTGGCCACCTACGTAGGACATTAATTAATAAGGTGTTCTCATACATGGCTATTCCCTCATACATGGTTATTCCCTCATTTATATCAATAACCTAATTCATGAATCAGTCAAATAATGGTGATGTTCTAGTTTTCTCCAATAAGAATGTCTTTGACTTCAGTTTCATCTATCTCAATAGCGAACAATGAGATTCTTTGTGATTGCTTTCTCCCAACTCGAATTGAGACTTCCAAGACAAAATAACACCCTGAAAAAAAAAGTTTAGAGTCTTCTCTAATTCCTTGGTATGTCTATTTTGACCATTTTTCTACAAATAGGTTTTATTATTCTTTTCAAATTGACCATGAATTTTGAAGATGGGTTGTGGTTGTTAAAGATAAAGTTTCTTGTCCTTGCGTGTAACCCAAAATGACTATGTTATTATTATTAATAGTATAACCAATTGTTATAAATGTAGACACTATTTTCCACAATTGAAATCATTATGGCTAATGTATTTTTCTCCACCTAATGTAATGTAGTTGATATTGCTATTGAATGAAATTTGTATTGGTATTAAGTATAGTCGGTATTGTATTATCATAGTTACTAAGATCAATAATACAATGCTAGTACCATAACGAGAACAAGTAACACATGATACCAGTGTTCAGACGAGACACGTATGAGAACACCTCATTAATTATTGTCACACATAAGATGACACATGAGCAAAATCTAAAGAAACTCATTATAAGGATTGAATATGAATAAAACAACAAGAACTTATTTTGCAAAAAAAAAAAAAAAAAAAAGAACTAAATGTCTACAAACTGAAATTTTAACCTGAAATAGTCGGTCATAAGGATTGAATATATATATATATATATATATATATATATATATATATATATATATATATATATATATAAAAGTTAAAAGACTTATTTTAATAGAAAAGAAAAAAAAAACAATAAGAAATTACAATACAAAAACTATGTTACCATTATAAGTCATTTTCCCTTATTTTTATGATATTGTAACTTTATTTCTTCATCTTTTTAGCCCTAGTGTCGACACTAACTTAAGTGTCTGGAAGCTAGTTTTTTTCATTAAATTTCTTCTATTAATTGGTTGGACATTCAATTTGAATGTGTTTAAATCTTTTGCACCCATAACACTCCCTTTGTTGTTATACAGTTGAGCACAAATACTATTTCTTTTCGTACATGTTAAAAGTTTGCAACTTACTAACTTAGTGTTAGTGGCTTATTTATTTCTTTCTTGTTTTCGATGTATCTCAAAGGTTCGAAGAGATGCAAGCAATCTTTTATGAGGAAATCCCTAAAAAACACTTTTTTAAAATTGTTTCTTCCACATTAAATCAAAACAAAGACTCATATATATTCATATCCACGTCAAGTTTATCAAGTGATATCTATACATCTAAAAATATATCATACATTTAAGTGTGTTCTTCTACACAAAATTTTACTAGTAATCTTCATCATCATAATCATTCCTGGATCTAAAGAACCTTCTAACGACAGCTGCCGCAGCACCAAGAAGCATAAACAGCACCAACGTATCAAACCCACCGCCGACTCCAACAGCCACACTAGGCCCAGGTGCAAAGTACGAAAACGGCGACCACCCCCAACCACCGTACCCATAACCGTATCCACCGACCAGTGGTGGCGCAACCCGTGGGTTGATGTAAATATTGGTTCTGCCACCACACAAATAAACATCAAATCACTTTGATATAGAGTATATATAACCACATGAAATTACCTTGAGTTATTGATTCTTGGTGAAGATGAACGAGGGGCCGATTGACTTGGGGCGGAACGGAACGCCTGACCACCGACACGGCCGCCGGATTTTGCTGCGAAAGCTGGATCGATTGATCCAAGTGTTAAGACCCCAGCTGCCATTGTTACTAAAGCAAGCTTCGCCAGTTGATTGTTGTCATTAACTCTGCAGGTTCATGATTTCCCACATACAAAAACTGTCAAATCAAACAAATTTAAGTGTAATCGAAGTGTTGAGAAATTGAAATTCCGGAGTACCTGGATAGAGATGACTCTGTGGGGTTTTGTGATGGAGATTTGGGGGATTTATTACACAAGATGATGATTGATTTTTTTGGGATTTTGGTTGATTTGTGGGGGGTAGAGAGAAGGGCGTTGGTGAAGAAGGTTTGGTGAGATGATGCTATTGACATGGTGAGGGTTTTGAATTTTGATTCTTGCAATAAGAGATCGAAATGGTTGCTCAAAGTTTGGTGCTTCTGGTTTTTACATTGTATGTTTTGTCTTCAGGCTTATCTATCTTATGATTCTACTGGCTCCACGTGGCAATTTTGTAATGGTTACTTCCAATTATTGTCCTTTGCCTCTAAAATTTCATTATACTCTAGACATTCCTGGATTAAAATTTCTTCTAGTGAATACTTCTTTATGGAAGTTCCTTTTGGCTTGTTTTCAGATCTAATAATTTGAAAGGTTAATATTACATTTTTATTAGATTTAGTCAATTTTCTTTTTTAGATAACTTGTCATTAAATTATCTTTAGTTGTTCAAAAATTATGGAGCAAATATTATTTAAATTTTCTTATTTCAAGTGAATAAAAAAAAAGTGTATGAACGATCAACGCGTGTTTATATCATTCGCTTTTAAGATCTTTGTTTTTTTTGTGTCGGATGGTATGGAGCTCATCAAAGGAGTCTAACAAATCATATTCTCATGTACCGGCGAGAATATATATGTATATTCTCACAAGTGATTATTCATATATGATATTATCTGTTCCGCCGTCCGCATATGCTGGAGCGCTTAAGCGGCAGATTTGTAATATGCGGAAATATACTTACATTTATATTTACATATGAATATTAAGTTCCTCCGTCGTGCTGGTACGTGGGAAGGTTTTACGGTAAAAAAAATATATGGCCCATATTTAATCTCGCGTTCTCAATTTTATAATTGTTATCAGTTGAAGCTTCTCATATATATATATATATATATATATATATATATATATATATATATATATATATATATATATATATATATATATTGAGAAACTCATTTATTCGTGAGAAGTTGAGAATCTTTTTTATTGTAGATTTTTTTTAAAAAAATTATGCACCTTTAAAACATGCATATAAGAACTGTTTAAAAAACAATTCAAAAAATATGTATATATGAAATGTGCATATATACATATTATGTAATGCATATATATACAACAAAAATTTGCATATATATATATACACACTTTTTTTGAAACTTTTTTAAACAAAAGTTCTTATATATACAAGTTTTAGTGGCGTATAATTTTTTTTGAAAATAATCTATAGCAAAAAAAAAAGTTTTCGGATTCTCACAAATATATGAGTTTTCAAAATATCCTAACTCTCTCTCTCTCTCTCTCTATATATATATATATATATATATATATATATATATATATATATATATATATATATATATATATATATATAATGTTAATCAAGTGGATATTTTATTGAAATGTTTCGTGGCTTAAGAGAGTAATTTATTATGTCTCATGGACATTTAGTCGCTAACCTATATTTTATATATGTTTCACCATTAAACTGTCTCATTTATTTAAAAACTACTATTATGACATGGTATGGTATGTAAATGTTGATTTGGCATCTATGTAGATGAGATGGATTTGTAAAATTGTGGACCTATATGTGGTATGTAAGTTATCCAACTTGCATCTCTTATGCATTAAATTTGAACGAACAATGTTCCAATAATATTGTTTTCTTCTATGTTCTCCAACTAAAATACAAAGAGGCATACTGAAATTCCATGGAATTGTCGTTTAACCTCTTGCATCATAACATAAATTTATAGTATAGATGTGTTACATTTGATTTGGCTTACCCTCTCGAATCAGTCTTCCATCTACAACTTTTTATTTTTGTTTTGAAGAATCTAAATAAAAAATGGAACATATTGATCCAAACCTAGAAATGAATGGCATCTCATTTGTAAAACCACTTACCTAGAAACATAAAACGAATGTAAAACCACTTGCCTACAAATAAATTTATCAAGAACCTACAAATGAACGGTATCACATTTGCACAAAAGATGCAGGTTAGATGGATTACACTTTGAATATAAGTCAATAGATGTCAAATGCCTTAAATCAGCATTTACCTATAATACATAGTTATAATGGTAGTTTTTAAATAGCTTGAGAAAGTATAATGGATTAATGGTTAGTTGTATACAAAAATTACTTTAGTGACTACATATGTATACAGTGCATAGTACACTACCCTCTTAAATCATTAACCATATCCATATAATTAACGTTTATTATTATTTTTTTTCTTAATAAGGAAGGTAACCGGCAAAACTTATAACATCTTTTAATGATAGTTTTTTAACTGCTTGTGTGAGTTTAATAGTAAATCGGTAAAAATAATTCAATGACTAATGCTTACATGAGGAATACTACAGTACCCTCTCAAGTGATTAAACCTTAATTTTATCCCCCATGTAACTTCCTCTTTCTAACAGTTTTCAATTTATATAAATTATCAGTTGCTGAATAAGTTATAGAAATTATTATTTGTACTTAATTTATTTATCCGATATATATATTTTGGGTTTTAAGATTTTAAACTATGGTTGACACAGGTACTTAAAATACAAATATCACAAATGTTAAGAGTAAAACTTGTAGATTACAAGTACCAATTTGCAAATTGGTTTTGTTCATTACATTGATTCATTCAAACAAGAAGAGAGAGCACATTACACATGCAAAACAGAGTATTAAAGGGAAAAAAGAAAAATAACTAAAACCGAAAATGTTTTAACTTTGCTTCATGGCTAACAAAGTATGAAGCGACCAAACACAAACCCTTTCGCAGGTATACTCACAAAGATAGATTTTTAAACACTCGAGGCTGCATTGCAGCACATAGTATGTCTCCCCCATGGTTTTAACATGGTCTTCTAGTTTTTGCCTCGATTCAGTAATAAGTTAAAAAAAAAAGAAACGTAAAAAACCGACCCTTTTTTTCCCTTATCATTAATCAAAACTTCCTCATACTGTATAATGTTGTTGAATTGTGTCAATATCAAGCCCCTTCAGTTTCACCACTGACTCCACGTGACCCTTGAGTGTCAGCACCTCCCGAAGCCTATATAAAAACCCCAACCGTTTCTTAACTTGTTTCACACATAATAAATAAATAATAAATAATAAATGTATGTATCTTTACCTTGCAACTTCAGCACGTCTTTTGGCCTGTTCAGCGATTTCAGAAAGTTCTCTGTAGCTGCTTTTCTCGTTAAAGATGTTTGAAGTCTCGGGTGCTTGAAGACCGTGTAAAGTCCTCTGAGCAAGAGCCCATTGAGCCTCTCTCTCCTCTCTTCCATAATCCTTCTTGGTCGTGAAAGCGGTCTATTCAAAACCACACAATAAAAAATGATTTAGTTTTATAAACTAATGACTAGTAATCTAGTCATGGACTACTATAGTCCAGACATGGACATGTCTGGACTATCCTAGTCCAGTCGACATGGACTACAGCTCACACAGCTGGACAAGTGGTAACAAAAGATTTGGTACCTTGTTGTCGAGCAAGTTGTTCCAGGCCTTGCCACTAAGGATATACCGGATGGCAAACTTCATGATGTCGAGAGGGAAATAGAAGACGAGACTGTAAATCCAGACAACACCAGCCCATTTCCACCCACAACCTTTGATTCTTGCGAAACTCCAATCCGCGTACACTGCTATTAAAGTGGCCACCTGGAACATATAAAAAAATATAAATATAAGTTTTTTAGAGGTACAAAATTTCACAATTAAAAAAAAATAGATTTTTTTTACCAATTGTGCGGCTAAGAAAGCGCCCATTAGTAGGAATCCAGGTCGTTCAACAAACGACCAACTGCGAGAGCGAGTCACAAAGATCAAAGCCTGGCTCACAATACTGACTTGTAAATATAAAGCAGCCATCATCTCGGTTTCACTAGTTCTCAGAGATTTCACTCCAAATTTATCCTGTGTTAAAAACACAAAAATCAGCCACAAAAATAAAAAAGGATAATTTGTTTGTTGGGCGTAAACTTTTTGGCCATTATGTAAATCAGGTACACAGTTGTCTGGAGCCCAATCCACATTGGAACTGGAGCTTCCACACTGTCTGCAAAGATATGAATTTTTATATTCTTACGGAGAAGAAATCGGTGTCTTTCATGATCCAGAAGAAGATAACGGTCATCAAAGCTAAGTAACCTCCAAGCACAATGCCAGTGGCAAAGATCTCTTTTAGTTTCCAGCTATCGGGTAATGGAGATGGCTTCACTCTATCCTTTGAGATTGTCATGATTGTCCCTATAATAATAATAATAATAATAATAATAAAGGAATCAGTAAGATAATTCGAGTGTTAGGTGTAATGTAATATATACGATAATTTAAATTAAAAAAAAAAAAAAAAAAAAAAAAACTCACCGTCGTTTAGAATTGCAATAATAAGAACCATGAAGGGAGAGAAGTCAAACTTCCATATCAAAGCAATGAACATGAATCCAAACTAGAAAAGATGTAAAATGGAATAAATTAGATTCGTTACTCTATATTCATAATAAAATGATTTTCAATTTTGAATATTTTGAATATAGTTCTTTTAACTTACCACGATACGGATAGTGATAGAAACTGCATAGATCTGCAAAAAGGATTAAAAAAAAAAAAAAAAAAAAAACAATTTAGTAACTATGTATCGTTTTTTTTATTATCAAGTGAATAAATGTTGTTTTTTACTCACTGTGTAATTTTTCATTCTTTGGAAAATAGCTCTACTGGTAAGAACAGCACTAATGATAACACTAAGCCCAGGTTCAGTAAGCACGATGTCAGAAGCACCTCTTGCAGCATCTGTAGCATCAGCAACAGCGATTCCAATGTCAGCTTTTTTCAAAGCAGGAGCATCATTCACACCATCACCAGTCATTCCACAAATATGCTTCCTCTCTTGTAATTTCTTCACAATTTCATACTTGTGCTCTGTATATTCACAATCACATTCACAAATTTAGTGTTCGAGTAGATTTTTGAAAATAGGTTGCTATTATTGTGAAGACACTGACCAGGGAAGACTCCAGCGAATCCATCTGCTTTCTCAATCAACTCATCAATAGGAAGTGCAGCAATGGACTCATCTTTGTGTCCACCGAGTAAAGAAGAAGAAGGATACATGTTTGTTCCCATTCCAAGTCTTCTACCAGTTTCCTTAGCAATAGCAAGTTGATCACCTATAAAACAAATCAATATTACTTTAAATTTTTAAAATTTTAAAAAACAAAAGGTAAAAGGTGAAAAGTTTAAAGTTTACCTGTAATCATCTTGACATTTACACCGAGGTTTAGAGCTTGTCTAATGGTTTCAGCGCTGTCATGTCTTGGTGGATCAAAGAGAGACAACAATCCAACGAATTGCCATGGGCTTCCGGGGCTATCTTTAGACTTTTGGGGGACTTCCTGTCTTGCAACAGCCAATGAACGAAGACCACGTTCAGCGAATTTATCAATCATGGCGTGAACTTTCTTCTTCAAATCTTCTTTGCAAGCACAAAGGGTGAGGATTTGTTCAGGTGCACCTTTGCTAGCTCTATGCCAGTTGCCTTCACCATCGATGTAAGTCAAAGCAGTTCTTTTGTCTACAGGGTTAAACGGAAAGAAATGAACCTCTCTGATTCCAGCACGTGCTTCTTTAGGATCAGCTAGGGTTCCAACAATGGCAGCGTCAATGGCGTCCTGGTTTTCAGTCCTTGAAGCCCTAGCAGCTTCAAGCAACACCTGTTCCTTATCGATACCTTTCGCAAACACTTCGATTAAATTTTTATCGACTGAAAGTTTGTTAAGTGTTAGAGTTCCGGTTTTATCGGAACAAAGAACGTCCATTCCTGCCATTTCTTCAATGGCTGTCATTCTTTTGGTAATCGCGCCTTGTTGTGAAAGCCTGTGAGATCCGATAGCCATGGTGACGGAAAGAACAGTCGGCATAGCGATTGGGATTCCTCCGATGAGCAACACCAATAGATTGTCGATTCCTTGTCTGTACGGACGGTGTTGGATCGGGTACATGACGACGATTTCGATGGCCATTCCGACGGCGATGGAGCAGATGCAGAAGTTTCCGATTGAGGTAAGAACTTTCTGGAAATGTCCGACTTGGTTTGTGCTGTCGACGAGATGTGCGGCTTTTCCGAAGAAGGTGTGGACTCCGGTGGCGATGACGACGGCTTCGAGTTCACCTTGCTTGCAGGTTGAACCGGAGAAGACTTCATCGTAGGGGTTTTTCGTCACCGGAAGGGATTCTCCGGTAAGTGCGGATTGATCGATTTTTAAAGGATCTCCTTCGAGAAGACGAGCGTCGGCGGGGACGATGTCACCGAGCTTGATGCTGATAATGTCTCCGGGAACCAAAATCGCCGCTTCTTGTTCACTCCATCGACCATCTCTCAAAACCTGAGACAAAATTGATATAAGATTATATGATTCTGTTATATTTAATAATTTTTTTAATTAAAATTTTGAAAGTAGAATGTTATAATAGGAAAAAAAAAACGAAGGAAATTAAATTATTACCTTGGTTTTAGGAGCAAGACCAGCCATAAGTGCAGCAGCAGCATTTCCGGCGTTGTTTTCTTCAATGAAACTGATGGTGGAGTTGATAACAAGGAGGCAGACAATACCAATGAAATCTTGATAATCCGGTGGCTTTCCACCGCCATTAGCAAGTGCAATTGCCATTATAGCTGCAGCCTCCATAACCCATGATAGTGGATTCCACATAAACCCAAGAAACTTGAGGAACTTGCTCTCCTGTAAAGTCAAAAAAACAAAATGTTATTATACATTACACAATTATTTAAAAAAAAAATAGATTTGGATGTAAAGTATATTACCCTCTTTTCCTCCAATTTGTTGGGTCCGAAAATTTCAAGCCTCTGGGCTCCTTCATCTGAACTCAAACCTTCGCGGTTACATTTTAACTGCTCAAACACCTCCTCGATCGGTACCTTTTCCTGTAGTAGTATAAAAATACATGATAAGGTTTTGTTTGACAGATTAACTAAAAAACTAGCTTTTAATTAAAAAACTAGTCGGTAGGTGATAAGTTAAGTATTTATGACTTAAATGAAGTTATTAGCGGTCTTTCTGTTGAAAAAAAATTTATTTTGTTTAACAGATTAACTGAAAAGCTAGTTTTAAACAAAAAAAAAACTAGTTGGGATGTGATAAGTTAAGTATTTATGACTTAAATGAAGTTATTAGCGGTCTTCTGTTGAAAAAAGTTGTTAAAAAAAATGAAAATGTAAGCGATATTTTGAAATTTGTTTTTTTAAGTGAAATAATATTATATTTTTTGGACTGAATAATTATATTATTAGAAAATTATTATCAAGTCATAGATGAATATATACATGATGTCAATAAGATAGTTATACAGATCTATTAATACGGAGATGTATAACTAAAATAATAGGAAACATCAGAACATGATGTTGAATAACGCAAGTTGACTTTCCACTAACACAAAGGGTTGGGTCGGACCCACACACGACGAAGGTGCCAATTTTCATCGAAAGTTTATTCACCTCTATTTATTAATATATCTTTAAATATATATCTACCAATCAACAAAGGCACGTTATTCAAAAAAGAAAAAGTCCAAACTTATTATTAATTAATTATTAGTATATATAAAGTAAAAGTGAAGCATGGTCCATGACTATATAAGCACCATTTTTCTTTTAATTTTGAGTAGTCGTCACATTTGATTTTTAGAGTCTACGATTATGAAATCTAAACTTATTATTAATAGATACCAAAGTCATAAAATATATGTGGCATGAGTTAAGCCTTATATAGTTGACATGTTAGGTATTTTTATTTTTTGTATATAATTAATATGGTAGACAATATATATCTATGTCGTTATCTTGAGGTATTAATTAGTCACTAAACACCCATTTTGAATTATAAGCAAAACATTAATTATATGAGATGCAATCACCAAAAACTGCTTGACTTGGAATTTTAAAATAAATTATATAATTTATAAGGATATTTTTATTTTAAATAATATAGAATATTGTAATAAATATAATTATTCTTGTAGAAAAAAAAAAGTCAGCAATTAAGAATAAATCCAAGAAAATGCGTGAGGTACTGTTCGTTTGTGAAAGGTGCTTACAAAAGTGAAACAGTCAAACTAAAAAAATCATCGCAATGGACAAAATAAAGTTTCAGACTTTTACGTACCACGGAGTATGCAAAATATATTCTCTCTTTAATATAACTTTTTTTTATATAGTTAATTTGAATCCTAATATTCCTTAGATTAAATATTGCAAATTTTTTAGACAACTCAAAACAGATTTGTATTACTATTAATATATAATCAACTTTTTTATTACTATCAATCACGACTAGCTGAAAAGCGTCAGCTAACTCATAACAGGAAATATTCCAATTAATTTGTTTTAGAAAACAATTGAATTACTATTAGGCTTTTAGCAAATGTATTAAAGTCAAATTTAGAACATATTAAATGTTGTTTAGATTTTAGTGTAATCAAATTAATGAATACCACACATTGCTATTGTTGACAACTAAAGGTTCATTCTTGTATGCTATGCCAGAATTGTTGTACCTTAAGGTACTTGTTTTTTTCTAAAGATATTTACTTTGTAAGATTATTTTAGTTGTACTTAAGGCACTAAAGGATGTACTTTTCACCTTTTTGGGTAAAAGGAAAATAGTCAACTGTCAATTAATGGATAAATAAAATTGGATTCACCAAGATGCAAGGATAAAGGATTCCCCCTTGAATCCAGTGAAATCAATTCCCTAAAATGTGGCGATTTTAACAAGGATGATCTTTAATCTTTAATCTACAAGAGCAATCAAAAGGTTTTCCCTAAAATCCCGAAAGGAGTAAAATCAAATCTCTGTTCTTAGAAAAAGAATTATTAAATATTTAGATCGATTAAAACGTACGGAAGTAAAATGATTCTGATGAAAACACAAGATGAAACAAAATGATGAGGAATAATTATGGAATAGCTGGAGTATCGAATCAATGTAAATAATTGATTAAAGAAATCAAATAATTAAGAAAACAGACATAGAGACAACTAATTTGTCGATTAGCATTAAAATATACAGAATCATTAAATTGATCTGTAATTGGTATTAAACAATGAAAAATAACCGGCAAATCAGGTTGATTGTTTGCGAAGGAAAGTTATCACATGCAAAAACTCAACATATCAATAAAAAAATCTACCAAAAACTAAAATCACGGTGTTTTGGAGATTCAAATTAACATGCTGTTATAGATGTTCAATGATTTTGAATCGAAATTGTAACTGAAAGAGATCTAATGATTCTCAATCGATATCTGATTAGAGCTAACAGATTTTTAGAGTTAAGGAAGAAGGAAGGGAATAAGAGAAAGGCTTATATACCAGATCGACGGTTTCATTTTTGATTCCTTCCAAGCTAAGCGCCATATCACCACCCATCTTCGACATCAATGAACGACAGCAGCAAAATCACGGCAGGAACTGCAATTCGATTGGTGAAATTAATGGATGAAAACGAACACCGGCGCTGCCAGCATCAATGCTAATAATAATGAGCCCCAAGGGGAAAATCTGCGGAGAGAGAGGAGAGAGAAGTGTTTGTGTGAGGAAGGGGCTCTTCACCTGAGTGATATAAGAACAGGAGCATCTCTTTATACTTCACCACACACCCCCTCCCCGAAGTCACCCCTTCCATTTATTTATTATTATTTTCAACTCAAATTATTTACTACTATTATAACATTAAAAAAAATTAAAAAAATCAACATATTTATATACATTCCTTAACTGAAAATCATGAGTCTAATAGGATTTGTATATGAAGCTTAATTTACATTTGGAACATCATTATTAGAATTAGATTATAAGGTAAAATTGAGTTTTCTAGTTAAATAAAATAACTATTTGAGGTCTTTCATATATATATATATATATATATATATATATATATATATATATATATATATATATATATATATATATATATATATATATAAAATCACAGATGTATATGTAAATGCAGAAACTATTACGTATTTGCACATGCAGTCGTAACAACCTATGGTATCATGGTATCATAATATGAGTAGTTGCAATGCGTGATGCTCCTTAAATGTATAAGAGGGGGGGGGGGGGATATTCTATTAAACAATAACAATTCCGCATTGTAGAAACATGATTTCCTCTAATTAGAAAAATATGTTTCGTAGGCTTTGAACCCGTATAAATATGGATATTTGTTATCCATCTATCCAATATTTAATGGCATTGCATTCACCATCAATTGGGTTATGTAACCATATATTACATGTTAAATTAGCAGTTAAGATGAATGACATATCCACTCTAAAAGTAATGTACTCATAATAAAAGATGGAACTAGAAAGTAGGTAAATTAAGATGTGTCGCATAGGAAATTTTGTTATGACTTTCAAAACTTACGGAGATGATAAAACTAGAAACAACCTCTTTATAAAAAATATTCCAAAACTAAGACTAAAGGTAGAGGATATGTGATCCTAAAGATGACATTCGATAAATACCTTAAGTTGACCAACGTTTTGTACATGTCGGAGATTTAGAAGAGTTTTGTGTTTGCGATTTTTCTTGAAAAGTTTGGTTTTTTCATGTATTTGAGTCGGATATTCCATTAAATGAGAACAATTACGCATTGTAAAAACATGATTTTCTCTAATTAGAAAAATATGTTTTGTCGGCTTTGAACACGTATACATATGGATATTTGTCATCCATCTATCCAATACTTAATGGTATTGCATTCACCATTAATTGGGTTATGTAACCCTATATTACATGTTAAATTAGCAGTTAAGATGAATGACATATTGACTCTAAAAGTAATGTACTCATAATAAAAGATGGAACTAGAAAATAGGGAAATTAAGGTGTGTCACATAGGAAATTTTGTTATGACTTTTCAATACTTGCAGCGATGATAAAACTAGAAACAACCTCCTCATAAAAAAATTCCAAAACTAAGACCAAAGTGGAGGATATGTGATCGTAAAGATGACATTCGATAAATACCTTAAGTTGACCAACGTCTTGTACATGTCGGAGATTTAGAAGAGTTTTGTGTTTGTGAGTTTTCTTGAAAAGTTTGGTTTTTTCATGTATTTGAGTCGGATATTCCATTAAACGATAACAATTACGCATTATAAAAACATGATTTTCTCTAATTAGAAAAATATGTTTTGTCGGCTTTGAACACGTATACATATGGATATTTGTTATCCATCTATCCAATATTTAATGGCATTGCATTCACCATTAATTGGGTTATGTAACCATATATTACATGTTAAATTGGCAGTTACGATGAATGACATATCGACTCTAAAAGTAATGTACTCATAATAAAAGATGGAACCAGAAAATAGGGAAATTAAGGTGTGTCACATAGGAAATTTTGTTGTGACTTTTCAATACTTGCGGCGATGATAAAATTAGAAACAACTTCTTCAGAAAAAAAAATTCCAAAACTAAGACCAAATGTGGACGATATGTGATCGTAAAGATAATATTCGATAAATACCTTAAGTTGACCAACGTCTTGTACATGTCGGAGATTTAGAAGAGTTTTGTGTTTGTGAGTTTTCTTGAAAAGTTTGGTTTTTCATGTATTTGAGTCGGATATTCCATTAAACAATAACAATTACGCATTATAAAAACATGAATTTCTCTAATTAGAAATATATGTTTTGTCGGCTTTGAACACGTATACATATGGATATTTGTTATCCATCTATCCAATATTTAATTGCATTGCATTCATCATTAATTGGGTTATGTAACCATATATTACATGTTAAATTGACAGTTAAGATGAATGACATATCGACTCTAAAAGTAATGTACTCATAATAAAAGATGGAACCAGAAAATAGGGAAACTAAGGTCTGTCACGTAGGAAATTTTGTTATGACTTTTCAATACTTGCGGCGATGATAAAACTAGAAACAACTTCTTCATAAAAAAAAATTCAAACTAAGACCAAAGGTGGAGGATATGTGATCGTAAAGATGACATTCGATAAATACCTTAAGTTGACCAATGTCTTGTACATGACGGAGATTTAGAAGAGTTTTGTGTTTGTGGGTTTTCTTGAAAAGTTTGGTTTTTTCATGTATTTGAGGCGGATAAATTTGTATTGTACGAACATGGAATGTTTGTTGGTAAGTTTATGCCCTTGGTGCTATGTATATGTTGAATGGAATGGTTATCGGGAATAATAATATTGAAACAAGAACTATTTTAGTTTGCATGCTCGAGTCTTCAAACATGTGACATTGTTGACTTGGCCACATTAAGTTTAATTCCTTGTGACCTTTAACTTAATTAATTTGCCTATTATAACATCTTGTTTCCTTTCGTTTCTTTTTTCAGGGTCGTGGGTCGGAAGTCAATTGTATAAAGGCTTTGGGCCTTAAGGAAGCAAAGTTTTGTCCTTGTTGGAGGAGGTAATGATGGTTAAGAGATTTACCCCTTTAATTGTGTTTTGGGCCGAAGGGTAGAAAAGGAAAAGTCATAGGTCGGGTTCTTGCATGAAATATGGATTTTTGTTTGAGATGTTTTTAGTGCAAGATATTTAGATAATGTTGTGCGGCTCTTCAATACCTTTCCGTGAATATAAAGATCGTCAAAAATGGAGTTGGAATGAAGAAGTTATGATTGTTAGAAGTTAAAAGGGTTTTGGGTTTAGCCTAGTACGTTGGGCGTACAGGGTGTACGTTGGGCATATTAGGAAAGGATGATCGCGGATATTCAACCTGGTACGCTGGGTGTACCAGGAGTACGTTGGGCGTACGCGATCAGAACCCAAACCCTAATTTCGGGGTTTTAAGCGCTATTTAAGCTCCTTAACTTTCTCAAACCCTTTCCGTTCTCAGCCTCCACCTCTGCAACGTCCTCCCTTGAAACCTTAACCCTAGTTTGAGCCTTGTGAGCAAAATAAGGTGTTTTAAGTGCTTTGGAGTGTTCTTGGTGCATCTTGGTGAAGAAGGAGCTCATTGGAGAAGTGTTGGTTGCATTGGAGCTTGTAGATCCAGACCTTGTTCACCTTGATCTTTCTTTTGGATGTGTAAAGCTTGAATCTAGATGATACATTTGTTAAATCAAGCTAGTTTTGGGTGTTATGAGCTTTTGGTCATTTTAGTGCATAAAGTTTAGATCTTGAAAGTTTGTGACCTTGTTATGGATAAAGTTGGAAACTTTATCCATCTAAGCATCATATTGATTCAGATCTGAAGGTTGGAGACATGGACTTAATGGATTAAGTTTAAAGAGATGCACTTTTGGTCCCTTTGAGACTTAAAGACTAGATCTTGGTTGTTTGGACCATCCTAATGGATAAAGTTGGAGACTTTATCCATTATGGAGCTATTAGGAACTATAAAAATGTGATCTTGGTCCTTCTATCCCTTCACATGAGCAAGCAGTGAAGAAGGGAGCGTATCGCAGTGTTTCAAGGTTCTTCGATTCAGGTGATTTTTCATCACTGTACTTGTGGGTCGAAGGCACCAATGCTGGCCCACTAAATTATGTATCCTGGTATATATGATGTTGTTATGTTGTGATGATCTGTTAGATTTGTATCCTGGTATATAGGATGTTGTTGTGTTGTAGTGTTCTGCTAAATCTGTGTATATATCCTTATATGATAGGATGTTGTAGTAGTGGTATGCTGGTTAGAGTGCTAGTAGACTAGTTATCATCTTGTGGAGTGCCCTAAGGGTTGTATGTAGTCCTATAGGATAACCTGAGAACTCTTGATCTAGTCTTTCTTTCCTGTTCCTTGTTTGGTTGTGGCTCTAGTGTAAGATCATCTGTTTAGGTGGCTATCTCACCTCTGGTTACTTATGGTTATGCACTTCATGGAGGTTAGCTGGTATCAGGACAGTGTGTTGTGAGAGGACTAGTAGGCGGTAGTGAGTTGTATGATTGATGTTTGCATGTATTATGTGCCTACTTGATCCTTGATTATTTATATGTCAACATATGGTGGGAGTAGGTTGAGGCGGTCATGCTCTGTGCGGAAGCCAACAAACCTGGGAGTAACCCATACATAAGTTGTGGGCCCGAAATGCAAGCCAAACTTATCTTGTGGGCTCGGGAGCAAGCCAAACATAAGTTGTGGGCCCAAGAGGCAAACCAGACTGATGTTGTGGGCTCGGGAGTAAGCCATACATGAGTTGTAGGCCGGTAAGCAAGTCAGAGTCATGCTAAGGACTCAGGGGTAATCCAGTATGTTAGATGTGGACCCATTATACATGTTGTTATATGTTTGTGCGGTGGTATTTTGGGGGAAGTTCATTAAGATTTGTGCTTACCCAGTTGTTTATGTTTTTCAAGTTTTATCGGTGATCGTGGGAAGGCGAAGGCGAGACTGTACACACTCATCAGCAGTATTGTGGATTCCACATTTCTTATATTATTCTGATTTTCAATAAATGTACTTTGGAATAAACGGTTTTCTTAATAATGGATTTATAATTAGGAAGTTTTACTTTAATAAAAATGAAAATTTTTTGTTGGGAAAATGGGATGTTACACCTACATTCCAGTCTGACATAAATTACAAGTGTAAAACATGTATTAAAGCCAAAATAACAGGATTG